AGACAGCCTCTTCCCAATATGCGTTTTTGCAATTTACATATATGCAAAAACGCATAAAAAAAGTAGAAGGGAAGGATTTTTATGGCTTCTAATGTCACGCATATGTGATGTGCTGCGCTTCAGAACAAAAAAAAATGTTATTGTAGTCGCGCGCCCCTACAGTTATTACGGTGAAATCAAAAACATAACGTATCAGGATAGGCGCATTTTACATCTCCTTGAGGTCATCTATACACCTCTTACCCTGGCCACGCCCACATTCTTCCCATATATAAGCCCAGTTTTTGGCCACAAAACTCAGTCTCACTGGTTCACTCGGACTGTGTGGCGGAGGGTGAGTTTGGTCGCCCACTGCCCTCAGTCGTCACTACCAGGAAGGGGGAGGGGGGACGAGGAATGGGGAAATTTGATGCTTAGGAAGAGAGAGAGGAGAAGAAAAAACATTTGTACATTCATTAACCGCCGCTCACTTCTCCACGCACGCCTACAACTACGGTTGCCCCCTCTACTACCCTGCCTTCCCACCAGCCAGGCCATTCAGCCGCTGCGGTCTGGGCAACGTTGCCCTGCCTCTCTGGCAATCTGCCAAACGGTTCCGATGGGCGACGCCAGGAAATACTATTGCCAGAGATGACAAAGGGCTTTCCAAACACCAAAGACCACCAGCCGAGCCGAGTTTTAATAGTTGCCCACATCATTTCCCTCTCATTTGGCGGATTTTCTGCCAAAGTTATGGAGGGCTCCACTTGAAAGTCCACGTAGAATTATATAATCAAGGTGGAGGAGTTGCCAGCTGTCTCAGTGACGAGTAGGAATGCGACGATGAAGCAAGAGATGTTCCAGGGACCATCAAATTATTAAAGTATATCCTTGTGGTTTACTGCCTTCGCACTGTAGCGTGTGGTACTCGCGAAAGAACAGCCGATCATTCTTACGGTCTCTGAACAAGTGGTACACTTACATTAAATAGGAAGCCAGAGCTGTGGAGAGATCCACTTAATGAAAGTTCATATGGAATTATCTGAATGAAACAGGATTCAGTACCGAAAAGCCCGGCACAACTGCGACCAACGTATGGGAGTATTCCAGTAATATCATTTTAACATTGAATCACCCGTAAAAACTGCCCAAGCAGTTTTAGTATTTCTGGTTTGTGCAAAGGGGAATAATACAGGGGCGGACTGCAAATAAGTTTAAAATACGTGATAATCACAATGGTACTGCAAATTACATTCCACTGCTGAGAAATTACATTCCACTGCTGAATTTATCAATCTTTTTTTTTTTAAATTTTTGTGCGTTTTTGCATATATGTAAATTGCAAAAACGCATATTGGGAAGAGGCTGTGTGTGTGTGTCTGTGTTTTCGCACTTTTTGTCACCCACTTTCAACTCAAGAACCAGAAAAGCTAGAAGGCTGAAACTTTGAGAGTATGTGCATATCATGCGCGACCCTCCCATTTTAATTTCATCCCCCTTGGAAGCCTGGGTGCCGCGTACGGAAGCTTTAAAAAAATATGCAAATTTTGGCGGGAAAGCGACCTCGGAAACCACATGATCTAGGGGGCTGAGACTTTGTAGGAATATTCCCTATGCATGTACTAGCTAAAGATTTCAAATTCAGCTTCAAGCTGTGAATGGTACTCACGTAAGGGCGTGTAAAAGTTTTAGGGGGAAAATTGCTATCTCGGGTACCATGAAAGCTAGAAAGCTGAAATTTTGGGGGAATGTTTCCCCTCCAAGTACTCAAATATTTAAC